ACTCGTTATAAACTGGGACACTTCAGAAGCAGAAATTCATGATCCCAATAGGGATAGAATCCAGAATTTTCTGATTACGAAGTAACTTCTCTGACCATCAAATCACTGGGATGGAATCCAATGGCCACCTAGTGGATTCTAACTTCTGCTGATTCGCGATATGTACAGCCTCACCACCAGGCAATGCTATCGGAGAGTATTTGTCGTCCTAACCAACTTAATGAGTTACCACTACCAGGGCACGATTTCCCACCAGAACCTCAGCAACTCCATCTCGACTGTGACTGAAATCAATAGTCAGAAACTTTATGGACTGATGATATATCTTGATATTTCCAAGTATTCGTCTGCAGGGATTTCATTGGTTACAAATTTGATCAGATGATATCAATTTTGATTTCATCAACTCCTAATCCCCTTTTCTAATCTAATTCTATATTAGTTAACATTGCTCGATAAGGAAATTAATGACTTAGTATGCATAACACATATCCTAACCATCTTAATCGATGCAGCTATAGAACCTTATCAACCCCACTTTTTTATTCCTTTACGTTCCCAGTGGAACACAGAGGCTTCAAGCTAGAGGCTATAGAGTTTTGGTAGCAGTGGTGTTTATTTCTACAGGATTTGGTTGGTAGCCTCATGCCCAACCTTCCCTCTACACCAGTTTTATTACTGGCCTAGCGAGGTAAAAGAGTGCGTTGGTGGTCGGGGATCGAACCCCGGACCATGTGCATAGTTGGCAAGTACTCTACCACTGTGCCACCGACGCAAAAATGGAAGATATTATTACCAGTCAAATGAGAGGATATTAAATAATGTTCAAATGTATTCAATTCACACTGTAACATTCTAACAAGTTATTTATTTATTTCACTATAAAAACATCCTATTTCCCATTTGATTGTATTTTATTGATTATTATTATTATATCCTTTCATTCCTAGAGGAACATAGGGCTTCAGCTGCGCATCTCCATTGCCTTCAGTTTTCTGCCAACTTTTTCACCCCGCTCCAAGTCTGCCCACATGCTTTCATCTCCTCTTCACATGACCTCCTCCAAGTTTTTTCACCCATGCACTGACGATCAACTCGCCGCTCCCGTTTCGGTTTTGTTCCACTCGAGCAATTTTTGGCTTGTCTAGTGATGTTTTTCACTTGATGCTGTCCTCAGAGTATGACCGATCCATCTCCATTTCTTCCTGCTTATTTGTTGCACAATCGGTTCTTGCTGTGTTGGTTCGCTTCCAGAGATCCCTGTTGCTGACTTTTTCTGTTTTGCCATCTGACCTTTTTTTTTCAGCGAAGACAACTGTTAATGAAGGTCTGTAGTTTGTTTGAGATGCTCTTTATGACGCACAGTGCAAGTCTCTGATTCGTATAGTAGCACTGACTTCACATTGGAGTTGAAAATCCGGATCTTATTTTTGATGCTGAGTGCTGTTGACCTCCACACAGACTTAGGAGTAATGAAAGCTTGTCTTGCTTTTCCGTTTCTTGCTTTGATATCCTCGTCATTTCCGCCTGTAGTTGAAACGATGCTTCCTAGGTAGGTAAAGGAGGTTGTTTCTTTCACGTTCCTCCTATTTATGCTGATTGTTGTCTGTTGTTGTTGTGTTTTTTTTTGTTGGCCAGGAATCTTCATCAGCTCTGTTTTACCTATGTTCACCTTTTTTGTAGTCCTATCTTGGATGTTTCTTTTTTTGCCAACTTGTTGCTTTTCACTTGCACATCTTTCAGTTTGTGGGAAATCAGACTTATATCATCGGCGAAGTCCAGTCAGCTTTTTTGTATGTCCATTTTATGCCTGTTTCCTCATTCCCCGCCGTTTTTTTTTCTGTTTGTCGCATTATCCAGTCTACTACAATCAGGAAGATCATTGGCGATAATAGATTTTTTTTCAGCCTTGTCTCACTCCCGTCCTCATTTCTTCGAAGGATTCTGTAAGTTTCCCGTTGTGCATTACTTGGGATACAGCATTGTCGTATAACTGTTGGATGAGATGTATAATTGTCGATGGCACCCCGTAGTAGCGAAGTAGTTGCCAAATCACCTCTCGATCGACGCTGTCGAAGGCCTTTTCAAAGTCGATGAAGTTGAGATAGAGAGATGACTGCCATTCCAAGCTTTGTTCAGTGATGATCCGTAGTGTGGCGATTTGATCAATACATTACTTGTTTCTCCTGAATCCAGCCTGTTCTTGTCTGGATAACACTACTATTATTTCTGAATGTGCTTCATCTTATATGGATTTTATTCAAATGTCTGATCATCAATTTTTACTTATGTATATAAATGAAGCAAGAAAGTTGAGTGAGTGCCTTCATATGATTATGAGCAGTAATAATTTGTGCTCGGAAGGTGGTCATCACTAAATATTGCTGTATAACACTGTGTGAATTTATCAAAATAAAAATTTTATCCATCATGGAGTAATGTCAAGTCAGGTCTTCTGTGTGATTCAAACAGACATTTGGCGCGTCAACAAATACATTTGAACTGCATTCCCCCTATATGGAAGATCAAGTGCCTTGAAAGAATAAGTAAGTGACAATGTATCAACAAAATAGGCGGTAGAAAGTGGGAATAGATCAGTCACACGCTGAAGAGACCACTGAGTAACGTCATGAGCCAGGTCATCGACTGGAATCCGAATGGGAAACGACGAATTGAGTGAACATAGGTAGACACGGTTGAGTGGCTTTACAATCCAGTGCCCTCTGGCTTTCAATGCTACTGCAATCCAATGTGCATTGGTCACAAAATATAATTAGCCACAAATAAGCAGTGCAAAAACTACATATTTGATCAACATTCACGTGATATTGTGTTTACAAGTTTAACTCTAAACTAATGTTTATGTGGGCGGGAGTAATTACTGTATGAATCACTCTCTGGATTTTATTTCAAAGACATAGAAACACACACTATTACCGCATAAAAACTAATTTAAAAACATTGAAGGCGTTAAAATATTTTTGTAGACTGACGTAGTGATTATGTCCAGTTAGATGTTTTATTAATTATATGGCTCAGTAAATCATAATTGGAATGTATGTGTACATTTAAACAACATATTATACATCCAGTTAGTTTTAAAATGATGAATTGAGAATTTCCGGTATCATAAACAAGAAAAATTGCCTTTATTGATTTATTTAGAGTACATATTTAGATTCATTTCAATATACGTGTTGTTAAGATCCAGTTATATTGGTCGTTATTCTATAGACCCCATTTTTCTTGCTCAGGAACACCTACAGGTGGGATTAAATAACGATGTTATTAAAACCACCAACAGTTCTGTATTGAACCATCTTGTCCAAACAGGCCACAAAAGGCTAACCATATTCAACAGTCTTTCTTTATCATCTGTTGGCTATCAAGTAAATTACCAGACGCTTCTAGATATCATGAAATGACATCAGTTAGAAAGTCACAAAAACGGCTAACTCGTTATAAACTGGGACACTTCAGAAGCAGAAATTCATGATCCCAATAGGGATAGAATCCAGAATTTTCTGATTACGAAGTAACTTCTCTGACCATCAAATCACTGGGATGGAATCCAATGGCCACCTAGTGGATTCTAACTTCTGCTGATTCGCGATATGTACAGCCTCACCACCAGGCAATGCTATCGGAGAGTATTTGTCGTCCTAACCAACTTAATGAGTTACCACTACCAGGGCACGATTTCCCACCAGAACCTCAGCAACTCCATCTCGACTGTGACTGAAATCAATAGTCAGAAGCTTTATGGACTGATGATATATCTTGATATTTCCAAGTATTCGTCTGCAGGGATTTCATTGGTTACAAATTTGATCAGATGATATCAATTTTGATTTCATCAACTCCTAATCCCCTTTTCTAATCTAATTCTATATTAGTTAACATTGCTCGATAAGGAAATTAATGACTTAGTATGCATAACACATATCCTAACCATCTTAATCGATGCAGCTATAGAACCTTATCAACCCCACTTTTTTATTCCTTTACGTTCCCAGTGGAACACAGAGGCTTCAAGCTAGAGGCTATAGAGTTTTGGTAGCAGTGGTGTTTATTTCTACAGGATTTGGTTGGTAACCTCATGCCCAACCTTCCCTCTACACCAGTTTTATTACTGGCCTAGCGAGGTAAAAGAGTGCGTTGGTGGCTAGGGGTCAAACCCCAGACCACATGTGTGGTTGGCGAGCAAACTACCACTGTGTCACCGACTTCATCTCAAAAAGGAAAACAAAAACAATCATCAATACTAAGGATAAAATTTGGAAGGCAGAAAAACGAACGTAGTGCTTTCAGTCTAATTTAGTTTTATTTATATTTCTCTTACACTTATGATTCACATTATACACATTGTACAGACAACATCATCATAATGAAGTAAAAATGTTCACATATTATATAAATATGCATATATGTATAAATTAAGCGCTATATAGTAAAGTAGATGAATATAAATAGAAAATATACTTTTGGAACAAAAAAATAACCCAGCAACAAACATTATGATTATGAAAGTAAAATGAAACGGGGAGAAAGAATAATCTAAAATAAAAATAAAGTCAGCAGAAAGATCGATCATTTATATCACAAATTATATTATCATCACACACACAAAGACAATGGTGTGAAAGTTAACACAGTGACGATGATGATGATAATGATGACCAGAAGGGGAAGAAAAAGAAAATAAATCAATACATACTACTACCTATAATAACTCTCAATTACATTCATTTTAAATTCAAAAATATCGATTAAGTAAAAAAAAATGGGAATGAGACAAACAAAACGCGTCAATGATAGATAAATCAATAATTTATAATAAAAATAATAATAATGATGATGATCGATAATTCAAAACAAAAAAATGACTACAGTGATGAAGCAAATAAGAATTCGACACAATGAAACAAATTATATTCGTCTTATATGTAAAAAATCACTGATATTACACTGAGAATAAACATAATAAGTTTTATGATGAAGATGTTCAGTTGATGATGTGATTATGGAATGCACACGAATAATGATAATAATAATAATAATAATAATAATAATAATAATAATAATAATAATGAGTGGTATAAATGAGGTTAGTTATGCTTAAAAATTCAATGAAAGACAAGCACAGAGAGACAAAGAAAGAAGAGGTTTCCTTGCGCCTTTCTTTTCTCCTGTATATATATATTATGCATGTGACTGAGAGAGTGTATGTTTCTATGCATGTATGTATGTGTGTGGACATGGAAATAAGCATGAGGAGAAATGGAATGATTCTTTTCTTTCTTTCTCTCTCTCTCTGTATCACTGATGAATATTAGTATATCGATTATTATTATTATTTATTACCAATATTATTGTCATCAATGTTATTGATAAATTATCAACGTCATCATCAGGAGTAGGTATTTATCACACGGAAAAATAAGCAAGAAACAAGGCAGTAATACACAAAATAGCTGACAAAATTAAGGGGGGAAAAGAAGATGAAAACAAGGAAGAGGGTGGGGAGAACAGAAGAGAAGAGGCGTGGGGTAGGGGGGGGACAATAATGGCCATAGGATTGTCAACTAATATATATATATTAACTTTGGTAATGAACAAATAAGCTAAAATATGGCATAATTATGTGTGTATGTATGTATGTATGTATATATTAAAAATCATTTTTAATTGAAGTAATCAGAATCATAAATGCAAATAAGCATGAGATTATTTTTCTCTCGAACCGGAAAGAAATAACAAAATATATGCAAGTGGACAATAAACAAACAAACAAACACATAACAACAATTAAAAAAAGAGAGATTCTGTCACTCTCATTTGGAATGGAGGTGAGACCAGTCAATCAATCAATCCATCAGTCAATCAATAAATCAATCAAGTAGATACTCCTTATAAACGTATTTTCCACCAACCGAATGACAGCTTCTGAAAAGAGATAGAAAAACATTTAAAGTTAAACAAAAGATCACAAAACACGGAGGTTTGTTCAAAGTTTTGGCTACCAAAAGCTTCCATCACTATATTGTATTTTAATTGATTAAAATATGACCTCTAATTGTATTATTTACTATCGCGATTATTAAAATTTGTTTTTTAGAACGTACTGAGAAAAAGCATAATCGTGGGTGTCAATGTAAGTTATATTCCTTGGTTTCCAAAATGTACTCCTGAACTTTTTAAAATTGGCTTCCAACCAAATGTTGTGCATTTTTCGAAGGTAGCAAAGAAGAAATATCATAGTGAATTGATTGGTTTGCGCTTCAGGTCAGATAGCACTGTGTCACAGGATCTACAGGATGTAAACACTGTCCAGAATAAAGCTATTGTTATAATTATTAATAATACTAAGAAAGTGGACACATAAGGCTTGTTCACAAGAGTTAGTTTGCAAGGTTAAGATTATTGAAAACGCGGGAGTAATGGATAGATATTTCATCCTAGTTTGGGACACATCAGAAGTATGCACTCATAAGACCAAAAAGGGATAGAACCTACAACCTTCATGTGGCAAGACGATACCGTTGACTATCCAGCCACCGGAATGGAACTAACTTACCGCCTCATGAATTCTAACTTCTACCGATTCGCGATTTTGATATGTGGTCACATGATGTCTACTTTGTTTTTGACAGTCTGATATATTTTGCTATGTGTATATTGATCGATATTCCATTATAACTGATAATATGCTTTGTCTGTCCATTAACTAAATAAACAATGTATGACCTTTTAGTCACATGACATTACAAACAATCAGAATCCAATGATGGTAAGAAAGACTACTCTCTGTCTTATTGGTTCATGTATATTAGCCATTTTCATATATACTCTGCATTGTACACTTTTACACACTTGTTCACAGCTTTCGTACACTACGTACCCTTTCACTCACACACTTGTGTGACAGTCAATTTCCCTTGTTGGAAAATACACGTATCATCGTGAACTTGGTGGTCTTCTGATTTTCCCCTTTTCGCGTCAGGACAATTCACTACTCAGCAGTACATAACATTTATTGGCGACGGAACCATAACAGATATATAACCGCCAGTTAACAAGTATCTGTCATTACACCTGATTAAGTAGGTCCCAACTGGTTACAACTTTTGATGACAACTCTAGGAACTGCATCCCAAATTGAAGTCACTTCGTGATTTGACTAGAAATCCATCAGGTTAGCTGTCTAACTATATCTCATCTTACTATGTTACTGCAACAATACACGTGAGGCAAATTATTGGGATTTTTTTCTTTAAATCCCTTATCTGTCATTTCACACCTACCTAATTTTCTTCCCCTTGGTCACTCTGAACTAAAAGCTTAGCTTTACTGCCATTGATTCGCTTGATTACTATTTCATTCAAATGGGTCAGTGTAATATTTTGGGGGTAAGAATAATTTGATGTGACATATCCTCCTAGTCTTAAGGATCAATTAGCTTTAATGAAGCCAGTCAGTTGATCATCTTATCATTGTTCATCGAATCAATAACTAAAGATGAAAAAGTATAAATGTTTAGCCTGTGTGACATACACGTTATATGACAGCTGAATAAGACTACTACAAATGCCCAGCTATTTAACTTGAATTAGATAAAGTGGAATAGAAACATGAAACCTGTTAGGACAACGGATAACATATCGTTGCTATTCGTGAAGTTATAACTGATGTATGCACTGGCATAATAACCTGATTAGGCAGTTTTTGATAGGTCTATTCTTGGGAGATCTTTAAGGTTATATAATCAATCAATCAATCAGATATTGATTATTTATTAGTGGTTTAAATTTCTGCGGATGTATTTTGAATGATTAAACGTTGTTGTAACGGTTAGCTAAATCCGATTTTTGTGTTTATCTCAGTGTGTGTGGGAGTATTTTCAAGTGATCAGTTGGTAAGAGTGCGTTGATTGGAGGCGGATTCTAGTCAAGTTGGACAACAATCACAAAAATAGCAACACTCAGTTATGACATATTCTGGTGACGAAGTTATTCAAGTCAGTGCCACAACAAAATAGAACACAATGGCCAAGAATGGAGTGCTTAGACGGCAATGATGATTAACGCAGACTCCCTCTCATAGGTTGTTAGATTTGGAGTCAGTGTAATCAATCGGTCTAGTGCTTGAAGCGTTGATCTGAATCTAACGTCCAAAAGATTATGCGTTATACTGGTATTCCTGAGAATCACTGAATTCGTTTCTAGTCTATCACACTTTGTAAGGTGACTTGAAATCGGTCAAATCCGTAGACGTCAGCATTCGCAGAGCAAAATACTGTTCATCCTGCAAGGAATTCTTCCCATCAAGAAACAAAGAGACTCTAGTATTTCTTCATTCCTAGACATCCTCATGACTAGAAAAGAGGATGGTACAATAAGAACAAGTGTATATAGAAAACCAACATCAACTAGTCAGTTAACTCATTTTGTCAGCTTCGTACGTTTGAAATACAAACGCAATCTAATAAAGTGCTTGTTCCACAGTGCAACATCAATCTGCTCTAATGAATATCTTAATGCAGAGATTAACATTATTAAACAGTTGCTGAGTGCGATCGGTTACCCAGAACAATTTATCGATACGAATATGAATCAAAAGTCAAGGCAGGTCAAAGTACCAACAGTTCCGAAAAAGGCCTTATTCTCACAACTTCGGTGATAACGTCAGTGAGATATTAACACAGAGAGCATTCAGTGTTGTTGAAGTATGTTGCATCTTCAAAACGATTGCTATTTGGCGTTCAGAAGTTAAAGATAAACTACTTAATTTCGCCTCTTCCATGTGTATCCATCAATTTGACTGTTCCTGTGGAGCCGTTGCATAGGCTGTACAATTAGGTGTATTTATAGTCGGATTTCCAAACACTATTCTGCGTGGTTAAGTAAGGGAGGAACGAAATCAATTCATAGCTCTATTCTATCTCATTTCGTAGATACAGAACACAACATTGATGTATACAAAGGCCTTCAAAGTCACCTACCGTATACTAAATAAACGTAATTTTACCTCAAGAGTTCGGCTATTACTTACTGTTGAGGCTGTTGGGGTCTGCTTTAAGAACCCTAACTTATGCATCCAAAAAAAGTTGGTTCATCAGACATTTTCTTTACCTTGGCCATCGAGGTTGTGGATATTTCCTTAGTTTTATTTGATATTCTATTTGCTATTACATTTTTATGCTTATTATAATTTATGCATCTTTCGTGTACTGTAATTTCATTGTGATTTTACTTAACAAATCGATAGTATTGAAGAAACACCAATATTGTTAATGACGATTATTTTAGAAATTGTAGGACCGGAAGAAGAAATTATGAAAAAGGATATTCTCTGCTCAATTTTCTTTTAAGTATGAATCTTTTTGCTACATCACACAATAATTGTGTGGCTGGCTGATAGGCCTGGGACAAGAAAAATCTTTTTTTCGCCAACTGAATGATAGTCACTGCATAGATTTACATTGCTATGTGCAGAATACGGAATACATAATATATAGTAATTTTTAATATGATAAGTGAATAATTAAGCATATATAACACAGAGGCATTTGACAACTTACCACACAACACTATACACGTGAATATATATTCCTAAAACAAGTCTGCATAATTGGACGGTAGTCAGTTATCGACTTAATTTGGAAATCAGACTCTCAAAACTGTCGAATACAAATCAGAGAAAACAAAGAAAAATATAGGAGGAAGAAGAAGAAAATATTGTACTCAAACTACGAAATATGCAACAAACAATGCAAGTTGAATTAACTCAAACGAAAAAAATATGTGAATTTGACAGATATATTAAAAGTTTGTGAAATTGAAAAACCGTGTTATATCTCGCCGGCCACCCCCTCCCCGTCACTCTTCCCTCCATACCTCATCCTCAACACTGTCTGTAACACTGAAATGCTTTTCATTTAAAATTCCGACTAACAGGTTTTGCGTCATCTGAGTGTTGCTTTTATTTTTCCCACTATTTTTTAGGTAGGCTGAGCTCTAATTGGTCAGTGAATTTTTAAAACTAGTCAGTCTGTCAATTATATATATATATATATATATATATATTCAGCAGTTCTTTTGACTATATTGATTGTTGTTGAAACAGTGAAAGAATTTCTGGTCTTCGACTTCACGCTCCATAAGCATTGATGTAGATTTTTTTCCCTCACGTTCCGCAGTGGAACATAGGGCTTCAAGGTAGTGGCTTGAAGTTTCTGTAGCAGTGGTGTTTATTCTAACAGGATGGGGTTGCTAGCCTCATACCCAACCTTTCCTCTTAATAAGCATTATTTCTGGCTTAGCGAGGTACAGGAGTGCGTAGATGTAGATTGTTAGAATTGAATTCTTCAGCGGTATATATGCTTAAATCTTAGATCAAATTTATTAAGTCGCGTTATACATTATTGAAAAATTATTTGTCTCTTCTCACTATTAGGGAACCGTGTTAAGTAGTAACAATAAGGTAAGCAATATTGAGGTTAGACTTTGATCGAGTGCTAGGTAAGGAAGGGAAATCAATCGACGAGGTTGAGATGGTTAGGAAATGTGTTACACATGCTAGTCTGGCCATCACCTTCCTTTACGGGCAATGTTAGCTGACATAGGATTAATTTGGAAAAGGGCTAGTGGTGATCAGACCAAAACATGGCTTAATCAGTCAGTGAAATCTATAACTAACAGTTAGTTTAGGCCAAGTCGAGAAGTGTAGACTTCCTGGTTGGGGTTCCCGGAACGGCTGGAACCAATGAGGGCTGCATACCATTGTTGATATAACTCAAAAACTTTCTCAACGGTAGAGACGCTTTCAGTCTTTGTGATCTATAATATCCAGTAGAAGTTTACTGTTCTTCCACATTACTATTCTTTTCGCCTAATATTTCTGTTTATCATCTCTGTCTTTTGAATCTCTCTTTACTCTCTTCTCTTGCTTCGTGTGCTACAAGGCAACTGGAAATGCTGCACATCTGTGCAAAGTTCTATGTTGAAACCAGTCAGTCAGTCAATAGGGAACACAATTTGCGCAAATACGAACTTCCGTCAATTACATAATACAATTATTAGTCATAGATATTTGCAACTGTTGTGGTTATAATAAAGTTCAGACATAGTGGTTAGTGGATAATAACCAAGGTGACCATAATAATGATAACGAGGTATAAAAACCTAAAGAAGTTAGATGGCACTTTGTATATGTTATGTACTGGTCGAGAATTTAATAGTCCTAACGCAAGAAAGACGGAAATCAGAAGACCACTAGGTTTGCGATGATACTTCTATTTTCCAAACACAAGGAGAATCAATATCACACAAGAGTGTGAGAGCAAAATATATATGAATGTCCGAACAAGTGTGTGAACACAAGTGTGAGAACGAATATTCAAAATGAACAAATCAATAGACAATCTTAACATGATTGACTAATTATAATGGAATATCGATCCATATATACATAGTAAAATATATCAGACTGTCAAACAAACACACATATTATATGGATATATATATATATCAGTATAGAACGAAAAACGCTGAATTGTTTGTTATCAATCTTGTGCTCCATATCCATATGAAACTCCTGAGTGAACCTATGACTCCTTTCCATAACCACACTGGATAGTGATCAATACAGCGACGATGGGCTTGTCGACTCGTTCTACGTCTGTCAATGTCTCTGTAAGAACAGTTACTCCCTGGTTTTCAATGGCTATCTAACCGACGTCAATCCCTGATCCAACTTGAAAATGATCAAATCCCTGGAAAAAAAGCACTTGAGTTTTCTATTTTTAACAAATTTAAACAAGCAGTGCAACTTACAATTTCTTGACGCCTAAATTCGATCTGGACGTGCCATAGAGTTTTTCATCTGGTTCACGATTTATCGGACCTTGGACTGGAGGAGCTTCATCCCTGTTTATTTTTTTTTAAATAAATAAGTAAATATGAAAACAAATACTTTGTTTACAAAGATTAAATATGCATATGTCTTTAAAATCGAAGGTCTAGTTGGTTAGCGGTGGATACACGACACAACGCCAATTACTTACTTGTTTTTTTGACTTAAGGTTAGTCAAGAAGGAAAGAATTGTGAGTGTAGTACAGTCGAGCAATATTTGATTTGAAAGTAGGGTTAGTTCACAGCACACAGTGGAGAAATTCAACTTGAACAGAAATTGAGAGAAATAATGTCTTTATTTATATATCCCTAATTTTACCGAATCGAAAAATAACTACACTGTATAGGTTAAAACCGATTCAAACTAAAATCGATAAATTAAACGATAGAGCCGAGGCTGAAGACGTATTGTAATTTGATTGGACAATCAGGTGCCCGACTTAATGCAACCAATCGAATTAGTTATTTGACTGACTTTACCTTCCGAGTATTCCTAACGTTTGAATACAATGTATTTTCGTCTGAAAAAGTGAGTTATTCGCACGGACTCGAACCAGTCTGCCTTCTGGCTATTTTGCCGTGGATTCATGGGCCAGAAAGTATTTGGTATTCAGTTTTCAGTCGAGTTACCTATTGGCGTTTCCGTATCATGTTCAAATTGCAGTATTGTTAATATTGTTATTATGTCAAGTGTGAAGATGCAATCATTTAAAAGTACTTTTCACATAAGAACAAAAAAGGCTTAAAAACCAAAGTACTTTAAATATTAGACTGTGGGGTTTTCAGATTCGAATAATAAAAAAAACTGTCTCCAAATAAGTGACAGATATGGAGGTGATATTTAGTTCAAAGAAACAGTGACCGAAAAAGAATTGTACTTTTCTTATGCAAAGTCAAAATATTCAGTAACACTGTACAAAGCTCTACACTGAAAACCTGAAATATCAGCTAGACTAAAGCACAGCGACTCAAACGAATGATCGACCAAATGATAAACTAGACACGGAAAGGATTTATGACGAGAATTGCTGACCGTATCACAAGGGTAGTAATACAAATCAGCTGATGTCTTCTGGTACCCACAATAAATAACTATTCATGTGGATGAATGGAGTGGTTAGTGAAATTTATCGTCATCAAGGTACATTTACAACAATGTAAATCAATCTTCTGATTTTGCTGATCTTTTGCATGAGATCAACAGCATCCCTTCCATAAAACCGTTATTGCATCATTTAAATAACGGGATTCAAGAGATAAATAGATCATAAGATAGCATGATATACAGTCACCTCGATGAATTCATGAACAAAAATTGGTTTGGACTAACACTAATGACTTCATTGCGAACTGGAAGACATTTCTAGAACAGATACAAGACACTGCCATTCTGTATAATTACTTTGTATTGTTTAATTTAGTTCCTCAAAAATTTTCCAATTTAAATAACGCCATTTTTCCATCAACTTTAGCCGCCATATGACAGTCTAGCCTTCAAATCAAGGGACTAATAGAAAAGAAGTAAGCGAATACTATCAAAAGATGCAGAAGAAACAAGCACCAGCAAAACATGTTCATCAACGTTAAAGGAAAACCACCTTCAATAAACTCTAAAGAAACACAAGAATCGAGTGAATTTACATTATTTCACCTAATTTCGAATGATTTCCATCAAGATGTGTATATCGTTGGCAGTCTCAGATTATTTTTTTAATACAAGTGGGCTGAGTTTTTCCCAATCCCGATGAAAAGCCTAAGGAACACCCCAATGATAACAGTTATTATCATAAACAGAAAAGGATAGAGTTAAACTTTAAGCACCACTAGGTAAAAACTGACAAATGACCTTGGACGCATCAACTACATGATAAAGGCGGTTTTCGCAAATAAAATACTTATATTCATGAAAATAACGAATTGAAAGGCATTAAACTGTAACACAGGATACCTTTCTCTGAAGTGTGACAAAATTAACTCTCAATTTCGGATTGGAGTGTAAAGAGAGTAATTAAATCACATTCCGTGCGTGTAATTATCTGGTCTTCTAACCCCAATCTTCCTTTAACCTAACTCTAACATGAAAATATCCCGAAACTAACCCTAATCTAACTCGAACCAACCCTAATGAGGCCCTTATTACGTTAACTCAACCCTAACCCATTCTTAGTTTAAGCCGTAACTTAATCTTTCCGAAACCTAACCTGAAACTTGTTAGATATCCCATTTAATAACACAACACAACAACATCAATGTTACTTACTAGGTTTCACTAACTTGCCTACTGACAGTTTCAAGGTCATTGGTGAGGTCGCACTCCGTTGGTATTTACTGGTGCTTAAACTTTAACTTGACGCAGAATAGAATATTCGGAACAAAGCTATCAGCGGTAGTAATATGTAATGCATGAGAACTTATCGGCTGGCGACATAACCAATTCAATTAAGCTTTTAACATCTTGAACCAAATGTATTCACAATCATATTTAGTAAGTTGCCACCATCACCTTTTCTCATATCCTTACATTTTCATATATTATTAATTAATATGAATAGTTGGAAACCACTCTCCTATCAAACAGCAGTACTTCCTAGACGGGTTGAAGTCATCTAAACTTCAGTTTCGATTGTCATAAGTCTACTCCCTTTGATCTTGAGACGTATAATTTAAAAATGACAAATTACCAACTTGTTCAAGTGACTAGCCAGAATTCAGTTGAATGTAACTGATTCGCTTTTTTTTCTCACTTGAGTCAAACCATGTACATCATTGGAAAAACTCCGCCACAAATTAGTGAAACAATCACAAGGCATACAGATGGCATCCAGTCGGTTAGCGAGCACTACTATTTAGCATGTATATTCCAGCAAGTATTTTATTCTTGCTTTCTTGATTGACATTAATACTGTCAAGCAGACCCCACATCGTGATCTGAATATACTCTTAGTTTCCATAGGAAACTGTGGTGAGTTTGCAATCCCCAACTTGAAAATTGCAAATTCTGTTGTTAACTATTCACAGTTATCTGTAAATATTATGACAGGAACTTATTATTTGACAGCTATGCGTAAGACAAAATGTAGTGCAGTGCGAAAACATCTTCAATAGTTCGAGTAAAGTTTGTTTTTTTAGTAACCTGGAGGTTCTTTTTTAGTAAACATTTCAATATAATGTTGGACATCATAAAGTGAATCATTTCAAATGATGAACAGTTAACTCCTTTAATATATGTGCAATATATGGGCACTTTGGTAATATGTAATTCCATATTAGTTTGTTTATTAGATGTATCACACAGTCAAACAGTATTATTTACTGGATGACAAGGTTTCGAACAAAATTTATTACTGTTCATAATCATATCATCAATTATAATGACACGACTTCGAAACTTGAGTTTTATAGTTCTCTTTGTTCTCTCCTATTTGTCATCGTTGGGGTAGTAGAATTCTCCAGATATCTGGGACAGGTGCTTAATCATTCCTGTTACACGTGATGGTTTGCAGTTGATTCGATAAACAAAGCTTCCGTTATCAATCTCTTCCTCCACTCTGTGACATTAGATTTTAGAACTGTCATCTTATCCCGTCATCCTACTGTATGGTTGTGTGTAATTGCACGTAGTGAGTGCTAAAGCCGACCTTTTCTCCAGATTTCTTTACTTACTAGGGTCAACTAATCTAAATTTTGCGAGGGTTTGGTTCTCCGCTAGTCTGACTCACCCCACTCTGCTACTCTGACCTTTGTATTTGACCTGACAATCATTGCAGGCAGGGTATTAGATAAACTAAATTGTTTTGTTTTAAAAGGTCCACAGGATTGTTTAACCGACAAAGCTTGTTTCTAATTGAGTTTGTGGGTTTGAATACCAGCCACTTTTATTCCTGGCTTGTTAAGAATTCTGCGTAAGGTTCCTGAAGGCGAGATTGATAACAGAAGCTTTATATATCGAATCAACTGCAAACACGCGTAGTGGGAATGATTCAACACCTGTCCACTCGGATATCTGGAAGATTCTATCACCTCTACGACTACAAATAGGAGAGAACAAAGAAAACTATAAAACTCAAGTTTCAAAGTCGTGTGATTATAAGTGATACGATTATGAGCAATAAACTGTGTTTGAAGCTCCGTCATCCAGTAAATAAATACTGTTTCATCACTGTGTGATACATCTAATAAACAAACTAATATGGAGCTAACTCTTTTCAGTAAACATCAATGGAAATCTGTTTCTTAATGTCCTCATTTCCATCGAAGATCTGTGATGAATAAGATATTTGGATTACTTAATTTCAAATGCAGCAAAAATTGTAAAAAATAATCGGTAATTAAATGTGTAACTTTCGTTCGGAATTCTATATTTCCAAAATCGGAAGTGCTTTCCACACATGCATTAACGAAAATTAACAATAAATGAAAGATGTTACTTATTCAAGGTATACAGTAGTTAAGTAAAGCAGTGTAGCATCTCCTACTCTTCTTTCATTCTTTTGCGTTCCAAGTGGAACTTCGGCTTTGAAGTTACAGTACGGATGACGCTGTCCTTTTACAAGATAGAGGTGTTAAACTCACTCCCACCCAACCCAACCTCTTTATCTGGTTTTCTACTGCCTCAATAGGGTTCAAAATTGATTCAGGTGGGAATCGAGCTCATATCACATGCGTGGTTAGCAAGCATTCTATTACTGGACCACTGACAGAATGCATCACCACCTATTAGGACATCTAAATGCCACCGCATCTCGTATATCCCCCTTTATAATTCACAATTATAAAATATGAAACTGAATTCCAATCTGACACTCAGTGTTCAATACTCATCATATTTAGTCTAATTTGGTCTTTACGTAAGTTCATCAATTTTTGTAAGACAAGAAAAACAACAACAATAGTAATAATGAATGAAGACAAGAAGAAATAAATTCTATTTCCAAACCAAAAAAAAAAGTTAACACAAACCATGTGACTAAATTCCATTTAGGGCCACGGTGAAAATCAACCAGGCAACACATTCATCTTACACGCACGCACACACACACACACACACATAAATAAATAAGTGAATTACCTACCTGAGCATGTCAAGTAACAGTAATAGCATTAATATCTTCAGCACAGCTGATAACAATCATGTATGCAGATAGGCTTATGCAAACAGAATAAATGCAACTATCCATGTTAAGTATGATAGTAATAAGATTAATAATGATGAGAACTGTAGAAATCAAGGTTGGGTGTAAAGACTAATGTGAACAATGTGATATATAACATGTAAAATTCTTGTAACCATATGATGGAAGAAGCGAGAGTGAAAGAAAGAGGGAGAGAAACTGTCAATTTCAGTGATATGAAAACAGACGTTAATTTCAGATGTCAGATTTTGTCAAAAAATAACATCGGTTAGGGAGATCATTGAGAACCAGGGAGTATCGGATAGCTATTTCGTCCTATCTTGAGACTCTTAATTAGTGTGCATTCAGCGACCCACGTGGGACTGAATGATCAATGACCCGTGAGTTCTAACTTCATCGACTCGTGATATAGCCCAACTCTTACCAATGAGTATCCATTTTATCTTAGCATAGTGAACCTCAATGGTCACAACTTTTCACTACACCTTCAGGACATCCATCTAACAGCAATCAATGGACGGAAAACAGGACAAAACAACTGTCCAGTGATCTCTGGTTTACTATGATCTTTCAAACCGATGTTGGTTCATGATGAAATCTAAAATTTGAAACTAAATTATTCCCAATTTCTTATTCTGAACATTAATTAACTTCAAATCTTGTCAGTTTGACTGATTTAGTAATCTTAAGCTGAAGTTGTATATAATAATAATGTGAATGCTTTACCTTAAACACAACTACTTGTCATCTACAAAGTGATTCAGTTTAGCTAGGAAAAATGATGTTAAATACAGATCTGTTAATGATTTGAAATGAACAACAAATCACTTCATTTACTGTTATCAGTGTGACTATATGGTGGTTCAGGTTGTCTATCAGTCAGACAGAATTCAAACTGTATAACCATTGATTATTTATTTCTCTGTTAGTCAGATACACAACCAGTCAAATTTCAGCATTTCTGATAGATGACCCACTATTCAGCGATTGTCGCTGTAGCATTGGCATCCATGGTACTATTTTAATACCATTATTATTATTTTGATCACTAGAAATTATCTCTCACTCGCTAGATCACTCTTTTGGAATACACAAAGCAATATCATCGTGCGCATCATCTCATTTACCAGCTAGGCTCACTTAGAAGTTCTAGATCATTTCATTGTTGGTCATGAGTTCCCCCAGGGTTGCAGATATGCCTTGCTGACTGGTGAGTGCCGATAAGCACGAAATCCAGATCCATGGCTTCTTTGTCAATTGCTTTCAAACACCTAGCAAACATCCAAGATTCACATAACTTCTCACGGAAGGCAATCGGGATATTTATGAGTAGTTACATTACTTAGATCATTAGTAAGCACAAAAGATATTATATTCGTGAAAACAAGATTGATTGTTAAAGTGATTGTCCACGTAAATAACGGTAACGTTGAAACGAATATCTGAAAGCACAAGCTCGCACAAGAACACAACGCTACTGTCAAGTTAAAAGTTAATTAAAAGATGTACAATATGGATTCACTCAATCACCAAAAATAATAAATCACCAAGTTGAAGAATTTAGAAAAAAAAAGGAAAACACTATTACTTTTGATATAGTAAATAATAAAATAATCCAAAAGCAGTTGGTAACATTTAAAACGTATTTGTTAGGTTATCGGCGACATTGTATTGTTAGATTCTGAACGATATTCACTTCAATCGCGCGCGGGGGGAGAGGACTTATAAATAAGGCACTTGAAATTTCATTCAATATGATATTCACAGACTGATATGAAGCTTAGTCAAGGGGGATAAAAGGGACGAATTCCTGTTTCCGACTATGGGCTGAAAAAGGCTGTCTAGTATATCCGATGATCTCCCTACTTATAGTGGACTGAATTGCGCAACACACCAGGGGTAGTGGGAAGACAGGAGTATGTTGGACAGACAAAAACAAAACTAGAAGATCTGAAATTTGTGGACACAAACTTGAAAACCTGCAGACAAAAACCAACAAACTGGCGGAAAAAAGTAGCGAAGACAGGACTCCAAGGGAACATAGGGAGGACAGAGGTGATGATAATGCCTAAACAACAACAAGTACCTGTCACCATCAGGGAAAGAAGCTCAAAGGAAATAATCTCTTTCGCTTGTCTAGGTGGTATTGTTGCAACCACAAACATACAGCACGGATGACGCTGTCAAAGCTAGGTTCGGAAAACCAAGACAATCGTACACTAATCTGAAATCAGTATGGATATCTGACGCATTCAACATAAGGAACAAGATTCGAATTTACAACAGTTACGTTAAACCAATTCTCATATGCGGCTTGGAGACTTGGGTGCACAGGCATCATTAAAAGCATTTTGGTCAGCAACTGCCTATACTCCACATTGAAGAACAGATGGCAGTTAGAAAGGATGGGTATGAAGGAACTCTAGCGACGGACTAACCAAAAAAACGGTTGCCCAACAAATATGCAGAAGAAAAATGGAGATTGATCGGATATAAGCTGGGGAGACAATTGAGTGGCCACACACACAAGGCAAGTTCTCGACTGGAACCCAAATGGGAACCTACAAGTTGGGCATGAGTACGAGGCTGATATGGCAGAGGAGGAAATGAAAGCTTATGGATAATCGTGGAGCCAGCTAAAAGAGCAAACAGAGGACAGAGTGAAATGTCAATGTACAGCCGTATGTCCCACCTGGAACTCAGTGGAATACTGCCAATAATAATGGCATTACTTTAAGATGTTAAATAGTTTAAACCATTCATAATATATGAGTTAGCCGAATAATACGAGTGAAATGAACGGCTATAGAATGTGCTGAACACACAACACGCAGAACACTATGAACTTTGAGTAGAAGAAAACAGTTTAAGGAGATGATATTCAGATTATACAATTTTTGAGGATTTTTGGTTAAATTTTCATTGTAAGACTTTCCTCACAGAGCAATATCTGTTAAACAGATCACTCGTAACCATGAAGTAATGGACAGCCCTTCCGTCCTACTTTTGGGACTCCCCAGCAGAGAGTACCCACGATCCCACCAGGGATTGAATCCAGAACCTTCGGGTTACGAGACCAAGCACGTTGACCCTTCAAACATTTGGGCCGGAAATCAAGCACACGTGAATTCTAAATTCATCAACTCATAATAGAGTACTGCTCTCACCAATGCTATTGATGAGCTTCCACAACGTCTTGACATTGTAGACCTCATTGGCTATGACCTCTTACTGTAGCTCCAGGAAGTGTATCAAGTGATCTCTCTAACATATTGATTCGTGACGAAAATCCAACATTTGAAGAGGATAAGATGAAAATTTACCACCTTCATCTGTAATAGACTGTTAGTATTTGTATTACTATTATGGTAATGATTATTAGCATGATAGCGGCAAAGGAGAAACGCGTTTCAGTTAACTTACCAGGGTTTTATGTACCGAGGTTTAGGAATTCTAATGGATGGAAAATATTTATACTTTTGTAAAACTGTGAATCACTAATATGTATTCTAAAATAGATAATTTATGTAAAGATTTTCGTAGTGTTCACTTAAACTCCTTGTTATGCATATATTCATGCCGTTGGAACCAGTTCATTCATTCCTTGATCAACAAGGAATCAATAATGTTTTGACCTTTTTCTGCGAGCCCACCTTGTAACCAGAAGGCCCTGGGTTCAAACCCTAGCGGTGGACGCGTACTGATGAAGAGTCCCAAACTACGACGAAAACGTTATCCAGTACTCCCACGTTTTCCAATGGTTCTCTAACCAATGTCAGCTCATAATGAAATCCTGTAACCAATCAATCAAATCCGTAAAAACAAATACACTTTCTTATTAATTGGCAAGCATGTAGATGCGATACTTGATGTTGTACACAACTAACCTGTAGGGTACACTTGAAGGAAAACACGGTCTAAGATGTAATGACTGAGTTACCAATGCATAACTTTACATCAAATTGCATCATATCAAGTTTCATACTTCGATATAGCATACACAAAAGTAGAGAAATAAAAAATGCAACGAAACTATGGTGAACGAAGATGTGAAAATGGGATGAAATGCTACTTAACTACCACTTGCAATTTCACACAGCTAGCGATGAACCACGACTATTGTGTGAGAGTTAATGATGCTGCCTGGTCACACAAATCTTGGTAGGTGGAGCGGGTTTCGAACCAGTGATTCAATTTGTGGCAAGTCGAGTGCCTAGATCGGTACGCCACAGCCACGGAAAAGAGAATCATTAGATAAAGAAAGATTTGAGAGGTTTTCGAATCTGGATGATAACGACGGGTAAATACCATGGGTCACTGTAAACGATTTTTGAGCTATATCACTAATAGTCTTCAACCACTAAGAATTAGTCCCTACTTCAAGGTTTGAAGATTCAGTAGGGGTTGCCTTGTTATTTTGATTGAGTTAGATTGCTAGCCGCGTCATGCTTAACCTTCTCTCTTTTCCATACTTACTATCGCGCGATAAACTCAGCAAAATTTAGAAGTCAGTCGACCGGGAATCGAACCAGGAATGCGTAGTTGCCTGGTGAGCATTCTACCATTCACTTAATGAGGTGGAACCATATTGATAATATAACTCATCTTGGAACTACTTATTTAACTTTGACTGTCTCTGATATTGATTCCAATTTTAACTTTCTTGGTATTTTATTTGATAATGGCACTAACGAATTCATGAATATTTCTTCGACTGATTGAATGAGTTTCAGAATTGCAGCAGTTCAAGCTGCTACACTTCATCAAGTATTTAAACACTTCCAAGTGTATTGCGGAACGGTGCAACTGAAGTAGGAACCTGGGAGTCACTGATATAAAATATTTGACCTCTAATCAACAGGTTCAAGTTTTAACTACTATTTATCTTTATGACATGGACAACCAGATATTAACGTTTATCGTCTCACACTAGGTGTCTACAACATGAACGCGCATATAAACGACAGCTATTGGAGTAACTTTTGATGTTAAGGTTACCTTTGAGTTGTTATTCAGGATTAGTTCTTAATAAAAAAAATCTTCAGCTAAACAGTGACGGCAGACAATCTTTCATCTTGAACTTCATTATTCCCCCTCCAAGCTTGTTACCACGACAGTTATCGAATTGTTTGATGTCTGTATGTATGTTTTACTGTGAGAAAAACATTCCAAACCTGATTTCTCTAAAGAAAAATGTGGCATTTTATGACAGTCTAGACAATACTCAGTATACAACTGATCCGTTAGTGATCAGTACCTGTGAGTAATAAAAAAATAATAATTTGCAGGCCTGAAACTCATCCTTAGTGGTGAAAAATTAGAATGATTCGGTGCGCTCTTATTTTTCGGGTAATTGTGTGATAACTGAACGCTGGTCTGCAACAACTTTGGTGTTGTCATCAGGATGAAAACTTGATCGGAAAAGGTTGAAAGCATACTGCTTCAGTCATGAGGACATCCGGTTTTAGTGTATGTGACATCTGGCCTCCTAAAGCTGAAGATATTTTATGACCCACTCTGTGTTTGATTACTGTTCGTAACCGACAATAATACTATGTTAACAGTTATGAGATCTAATACAATTAATCAAGGCGTAAAGAACACACGTCAGTAGACGTCAATCTCTCAAAATGTTTTATGTTGCCATGAGTTCATAGTCAGTGCCAGCTAAGTCTTATTCACTGTCATCACGCGAAGAGTGGCAGCGTTCTCACAAAAGTGAAAAGGCAAATGTGAACGTCTAAAGCTTACAATCGAACTAGCGTACATGCATGTCTACCCAGGGAACTGAAAACCCTTATTCTAAACTTATGTTGCACATGGATTCCACAATCCGAAAGGATCGAGTGGCTCATGACCCTGTTCTGGTCACAGGAAAACATGGGGACATAGCTCCTAAGGATACTCTACTGCCTTTTGACCAAAGTGTAATTGTTTTAGTACTCTGTCATTTTAGAAAAATTATTAACCTTGTGAAAGCTGACAGAAGTTGTTTCCTTTTAAAATTTACAAATACAAAAATTATCCTTCACATATGTGGAAACTTATATGCATAGCTATTAATCTGGGAAACTTTTCAACAGAAGAACTGGAGAACAAGAATAGTCAATTTCTCAAGTGTTGGTTTCTGGGAGACTAGATTAATTCCAGTGTGTAATACGTCATAAATCGACGTCAATGAATCATTTGGGGAACCACCGAGCGTCCAGTATTACTGAACAGCTGTACCGTTCTATTTTAAGATTCATCAGCAGTGATGACAAATCATCCCACCAGGGATCGAATCAAGGGCCTTCAAGATATGAGGCGAGCTGGTTGATCATTCAGTCGACAAGCTGGAAGCATGTGACCATTGGATTCTAAATTCTTTTGTTTCCTGCGCATTATCATGTGAAATAGGCGGATAATAGACAGGAAGGCGTTGTGTAGTTATGGAAGTATGTAGGATAGCGGTTATTAAATCTTGGCTACCCACACCGTGGAAGTTTATTTCTTCTAGGAGTAGCCAAAACACGAGTATTAGCGTTGCATGAACCCAGAACCCAAGGAGCAACTACTTGAGATTCGTCGCACACAACGTACCTATTTTATTCGGGTTTTAGAGTTGTGTCCGTATGGAGAACTTAACGTTGCAAGGGAGGTCAGAAGGCTTTGACCTTTTCAAACCACCATCCCCTCCATGGTAGAAAGGCAACATAGGTAGCTTGTTGGTCACTTTACTGCTGTTACATACCTACATGCCACAAGTACAACTTCACTCAAGACCCTTAAACACAGTGTAAACGACTCACACCTGCTTTCAGTCTAACCGCCATCTCAAAGAACTTTTTGGCATGATAAAACTTGCAGGAATATTTGTTCCAGTCAGTGTACCTGATTGTGATATGCCACCGTGACAACATAACAGCTACTGTTCGGGTTTATTATTGCAAATAACAAAACCAAAAATATCGAATACATCCAATCAAATATGAAAATGTATACAACTCTTAATGTGTAAGGCTGTATTGAATGAATATGCCACAGGAAAGAAAACGAGACTTTTTGCTGAATCACATGCCTTTCCTTTCCCCGTACATAATGCGAATTTTTACGTGAATTAGAAACAGCAATTAGCAAAATTTAAAGCAGTGATGTAATCAAAAACAAAAAAATTAGACACGAATGCAACTGAAAGCTGACTATGTGATATTTCAACTATCTCTAAACACAGTATGTAACATGTGATATAATAGACGTTCACTAGTAAACTGATATAATTATACTAACAGTATGGAGTTGGTTACCCCAGCCATTTCATTCATTGTTTTTCCCTACTCTACGACTCGATTTAGTCGAAGAAGGATAGTTAATTATTGATTACATAATTACACTAGATTTGCAATGGTAAAAACTAGGTCTTATACATGCTGGCGATTATTGATAAGAAACATGTGTGACCTTATGGAAGACAAGAATTCTCACTAAATCAGAGGCTGTATTAATTCATCTAATTTATATCGCGTCTGCCTCTATTGTAAAACTAAAAAAAGTACATGAAAGTGTCCTTGGACAATGGTAAATCAGCTTATGAAGTAGTTAACCAGAACTTGGATGGTTTTCGCCCTCTGTAAGTAATCAAAATGAGTACACCACTCATGAGCTCCGCCCTATAAACGACCAATAAGGGCCACAGGGTGTTTAGATCCCTTCGACCTGGACAGCAAACACTACTTCGTTACGGTGTAAGTAGTATCCAATTACTCATAGCCTTCTCAGTCAGATAAATCCTACTGAAAGACCTCATCACAATCAAAATTTGCCTCCATAATAATGTGAATTTAAGCATTATGACCCAATCAGATAGTAGACTACTTTTTTTTCCACATTTATAAACAAATAAAAGATGAAAACACGAATAATAATAATAATAACAGACGAATGAAATTTGCTTCTATCATAATCCACCTGATAATCGCCAAAATGAAAGAATGTTTCCCTAAAACGCTCAAATCCTCTTAAATATACCAAAAAATCAAACTAAAGGAGACAAAACACGTCATAATATAGAACGAATATATTTGCAGAGTAATACAAGCTCGTTTTATTTCGTGGATTCTCTCTCTCTCTTCAATTACATACATCCTAATTTAATCAGTTATGTGTTACAAAATTTCTGAACATACTTTTTGCAATTATTTCAGGTTATAGATAGGAAGTATATAAGCAACATAATTTCAAAGATGATGTAAGTAGATAACTGTTTAGTGTTAGAAGAGTACCTTTCAAGAGTTGGTTTGTAAAGATCAGATTTCTTTTTTCGAGTTTGACCACAGATTGAGAGATCACGGATTAGAGAAGCATTGAAAACTAGGGACTAGTGGACAGCTGTTTCATTCTAGTTTGAGAATCATAGGCATCACGCACTTCACTGGTAGAAGTTAGAATTCATGGGTTATTGAATCGGGTCCCAGTGGCTGAACGATATACGAGCTTGCCTTGTAGCTGGAAGGTCCTGGGTTCAAACCGCAGTGACTGCGTACTGCCAATGATTCCCAAACTAGGATGAAACAGCTAACCAGTACTCCAATGATGGTTTTCAATGGTTCTCTAACTGATATTAATCCGTGGTAAAACTCGAAAAAAGAGTAACTATTTATAGTCCCACCAATAGACTCATTCCACTTTACAAAACAGTAGGCTTGTTAATACAGTCAAAAGTAGGCAAGTATTCTGCCCCGCATATCAACTCCAACTGTAATTACCAATTCAGCTGCACTCGTGGCAGCAAGTACATAGGAAGGACTGAAAGAAGAAAGTCTATTAGATTCTGCGAGCATATCCCTAAAAGTCTCCGTTTTCAAGGCAACAAGGTATTCTCAAGCGCAATCGCCAGACATCTAATTGACACAGGACATACAGTAGAAATTAGTCAGGCTTTCAAAATAAATCAATACACAAAGAAAAGTATGGTTACTTCGATTCGCAGAAGCCATTGCCATCAAAAGACTTCCACCCAACCTAAGCATATAGAAATAGAGTGTGACTAATCTCTCACTACCCTACCCTGGTAACCATAACTGCTTTGTTCGTGTGTTTTGTGTTTTGTTCTGTTGCACAACATTCCACTTAATCTTGATTTCCACTCACTGAGTTGAACCCCGTATTAGGGTTTCAAAGTGCGTCGGTGGCACAGCGGTTAGGAAGTTCGCCGACCATGCACACGGTCCGGGGTTAGATCCCCGGCAGACGCACTCCCAAACCTCGCTAAGCCAGAAATAATCCTGGTAAAGAGGAAAGGTTGGGCATGAGGCTATCAACCCCATCCTGCAAAAAATAAACACCGCTACAGAAAATTCAAGCCACTAGATTGAAGCCGTATGTTCCACTGGGGGAACGTGAAGGAATAAAAATTAAGGTTTCAAATCTACTAAATTATTTTATCTATTTTATAATTTTTACTTCACTATTCACATCCCCACCCTCCTGAACTCTCCACCATAATATGTATAAATTAACTCTGTTGTTAGATCTTGTATTCTGTCTCTAGTCCATCCTTGTTTCCAAAAGAAATCTGATTTTCACCCCTTCATTTAATCACTATATGAAAAGTTACTCTTTTAACACTAAATAATTGTCTACTTACATCATCTTTGATGTAGATTACGTTGCTTATACTTTCTATCTTCAACCTGAAATCGTTGCAAAAAGTACATTCAGAAATCTTGTAGCATATAACTGATTTATTTAGGATGCACGGAGCTGAAGAGAGAGAATCCACTAGATGAAACGAACTCGTATTATCCTGCAAATATGTTCGTCCTTTCTTTATTCAAACTAATAAAGGGGACTGATTGTATGAAACATCATAATATGTTGGTTTTAAGATGTCGACATATTTTAGAGTGACTTGGGAGGAGCCATCTATATATGGTTTATAGAATGAATCAAATCAATTGTTTGGAAAGACGCATATGTCCGGACCAAGTTCGCATTTATTCGTTTGAAAACCTTTAGGGATTGGGCATATAATGGATCAAAAAAACGATACTCAAGTGATGGTTTGTAGGGATTTGATTGGTTACAGGATTTCATCATGAGCTGAAATTGGTTAGAGAACCATTGGAAAACCTGCAGGGAGTTTTGGAAAGCTGTTTCGTCCTGGTCTGGGACTCGTCAGAAGTACGCACCCACCGGAGTCCGAATCCAGGACATACTAGTATACCATTAGGCCACTGGGACCGGATCCAATGGCCAATGAATTCCAACGTATGCCTATTCAGGTAGGTGGTTACCTGGGGCTCTAGTGAGAAGTCGTGACCAGTAGGGTGCAGTAGGTCGGGTATGGGGACAAATACTCTCCAAAGACATTGGCTAGCGGTTGCGCTATACCGTGTATTGGTAGAAGTTAGAATTCCTGGACTGGCTGGTCATTAGATCGGGTCCCAGTGGCTTAATGGTATACGAGCTCACCTTGTAACCAGAAGACCCTGGGTTCGAACCCCGGTGGGTGCATACTGATGAAGAGTCCAAACTAGGACGAAACAGCTGTCCAGTACTCCCTGTAGGCTTTCCAATGGTTCTCTAACTAATGTCAACTCATGAGGTAATCCTGTAACCAAAACGATACTTTTTTTACTCAAAAGGTGCTATTAAAGATTCATATAATTTCAAAAGTAAAACAGAAAACCAGGAAATTTATAAAGAAGACATTAATGTCAGCTATGTGATATTAACTTATAATATACTAGTATTCTCATTACTGAAAATCTTTAAATCACCTTCAGTTTACTAGAATCAAATGCAACTCTATCAGAAGGATGTCCATTAGACTACAAGTGAAATAATTAAAAGCTTAAAATTCTATCTGGAAACTAGTTATTTTACAATTAAAGGAAATTTGTATCGACCACAGATAACAGGTGAAGCTATGCGTTCATCAATTTCCCCAATAAGCGCTGATCTTTTCATGAATACATTTAAAGATAACATTCTTTCAAACACACTCACACCGCAAAATATGGCTAAGACACGCAGATCATACTTTCGTTGTACTTAAAACGAGGTCTACACAGTTCATTCTTCAAGAAATTGAACAATACCTACCAGAATTCTGTTTACTTCGGAAGCAGAATCAGACGGCCCAGTTCAGAGGGAAGAAAATGAATATTTCAATATATATATATATATATATATATCCAGGAAGAAAACACATTCAAACAAATTTTTAGACATCGAATCACCACACTCCATCAATGCAAACGTGTCAGTTGTCTCAAGTATTCTTAGACGAGTACACTCTTGGATTTTAACAAATGAGAAGGAAAAAGAAGAAGAAATATCACATAGTATTGCTGAAATTCTCAAGGAAAATAAATACCCAAAGAACTTCATTACCAAAATCAACACCGACGTTAAACATGGTCGAAAACGTACACCGAGGAAATATACCTTTATATAGTTGTCAGTCTATGTAGATCAGAAACGTCAGAAGGGTACTCAATAAACCCAGGATCAGAGTTTTCTTCAAAACATCAGACACACTACAAAGCAACCTTGTCCATATAAAAGATCAATTTCCAAAGGATTTACAATCTAACTGCATCTATAAAATAAAATGCTTAGAAATGTGATGCGATATACATCGGACAAACACCGCAAGAAATCAGAATTAGAAAAATGAACACCGTAGAACATCTGTTTAACCATCGAGAAATCCATTTCTACTAGAAAAGCTTGGGAAATCATCAGCCATGCTATAGAATCAAGTCACGAGATTGATTTTGATAATATTGAAATCATCCAGAAAAATCCCGGAAATCATAAAGAACGTCTCGTATCAGAACCACTTCATATTAAACAAAATCGAAATTTTCTGGATAGGAATGATGGACTAAGGCAGAATTTGATCTAAGTCCAATACGCCTGCACCACAGAGAATGATTTCGAACCATATCACCAACAGTCTTCAACCAACGGGTGTTCTTAGCATTTTGACAACCGTATTCAGACAGTCCGAACTTTAACATATGGACCAAACTAACAGTCAGGGACTTCGTGGATTGGTTTGATCACCACTTTTCCAACCAAATCCAGTCCTAGCAGTCTGGATCGATGCAGCCTCACAACTACCTCATTAACTAACTTCCCCTCTATAATTAACACTTTTCGCCTAACTCCAATATTACTCACCATATTATACCAATTAACACAGGGGATACAATGCAAACGTCTATGGTGTATAACAACTAGTCTAATTATATATTCCCCCTTCAGTGGCCACTTCTTACAGCCATAAAGAGGAACAGGGAGAATTGCTGGAGAGTACACACTTCCTTTAATTGATAGCTTGACAACATATCTACGCTAGAGATGACGTCAGTTGAAAAGTGTCGGCTGAGAGTTATAACAATAAACAGTGAATACAGTGGTTATCAAGCAACAAGAAATCATATGCACGCCAAAATATAATTCTTTTCTAAGAGAATAAATGAACATGAATGTCTCCTACACATTTTTAAACTGTGATCAAAAGAAAGATGACCTACCCAGCTCGTTTATAAACTAATAATTCTTCTTCAACTTCAATTAGACGTGATTTCAGCTCATTACGTTCAGTTAATACATTTCGAAGTTCTTGCAGAGTGAAATGAGGACGATTTGGATCATGTTTATCAACAATCATTTTCCCCTCGATATTAAGTCGTTCAACCAACTGTTCTTCTGTTAATTGTCCCGGCTAAAAAAACGCATTTTTCAAAGGAAAACAAACAAGGCAGTTCATTATTTAATCAGTAACAAGGACAATCAATTCAGAATTTACACAGATTAACACTATTGCGCTACTACTGATTCTTTACTAAATCCTCTCACGATTAGAACTCAGCTATCCCGGACATCTATGAAAGATGTTCAAAGGAACTTAATTAACTAAGAGAAGAAAGAAATAAAACAATGTGCTGACCACTTTAAAGGACTCTTCAATCGGCCATCACCTACAACTTGCCCAGAAATACACCACCAACAACAGCACGCACAGAGCTGTCTGCCAGTGGACACCGATCCTTCAACGAAAGCAGAAATCCTGAGTGCGATCAAGCTACTGAAAGACAGCCAGGAAGGCAGCAGGACCAAACAGAATTTCCCCCGAAGCACTGAGAATTGACCCAGAGACTGTGGCAGATATGCTGACGTCATTATTGCAAAATGTTTGGAAGGAAGGAATGAAAGGAAGGTGCCTACTGACTGGAAAAGTTAAATTTATAATTTCATATATATGATTGGTGAATAGTATCGCAGATTTTGTCGAAAATAACAGTCATTTTGCTGTCATTAGGGTACTTTGTGACTGCACGGAACTAAAGGAAGTTCCAGTTAACTATGCAGTAGAACGCAAATGCTGGTTTCCTGCATTCGCACCATAGCACGTTGCTTTCTGTCACTACAATCTCTGTGCGCATATCCACGCAAATGTCAATTAATTACATCCATCATGTATGTGAGTGTGGGCTTACGTTACCAACTATCTAGCTTCGAAATTCTCTATAGGTAGAGAGAAGTTGTAGTCCATAATCTACTATTCGAACGGCAGATTCATGTCAGGCAAAAACAACACAACTCCATAGGATTTATTTTTAACGGTATTTACTAAAAAAAATTACAAAACACAGAACAAGTAGTTCAGCGAGTTCATTTCCCTGTTTAGCCGTATAATCGCATTCATAGAGAATATTTTGACAAATCAGCATAGAAATGAAAGTCATGAGTTTTCATAATGATAGTTGCTAATATTAATCACCAAACCCATCCCATAGCTAAATGATTAGTCAAACTCTTACAGCCTTTACATACGAAACTGATGAAACACAGAGTAAAAGACACCTTTGGACTTTGTTGAAAGGATAAAAGATTTAAATGTGGACAATAAATTCATGATATCATTGGACGTATCTTCCTTATTCATCAATGTACCAACTCAGTATGGAAACAGTAGATTTTGTATGCGAACAACTCTTAGGGTAAAACATAGATGTCGGAATTCTTATATCTTTTATATAAGAGCTACTCTTCTTCAAATGCGCAATAAATGTTCATTTTTTATTTAATAAAAAACTATACAGACAAATTGGTGGTATGACAATGGGGTCACCATTAGGACACATTCTAGCCGACATTTTCCTTGCAAAACTAGAGAATGGACCTTTGAAAGATGTAATTGATGAACTTGAATTCCATTGTCAGTACATGGATGATACATTTTTGATTATGAAAAATGAGGATAAAGCTAAAACCATCCTTACTGGACAAATTAAATGATGTTCATCCTGTCAGAAATTTTGCTGTATAGAAAGAAAGAGACTCTGGTATTTCATCATTCTTAGACATCCTTATGACTAGAAAAGAGAATAGTACAATAAGAAATGTATATAGAAGACCTACATTAACTGCTCAGTACACTCATTTCCTCACCGTGCAAACTTGTAAAGTGCTTGTTCCACACAGCAAGAGCAATCTGCTCTGATGAAGAGCTTAATATTATCAAACAGTTGCTGAGTCTGATTGGTTACCCAGAAAAGTTCATCGATAAGAATATGAATCAAAAGTCAAGGCAGGTCAAAGTACCAGCAGTTCCGAAAAACGCCTTATTCTCACAACTTCAGTTCCTCGGTGATAACGTCAGTGAGATATTAACACAGAGAGCAATCAGTGTTGTTGCAGTATGTTGCATCTTCAAAACTTCAGAAGTTAAAGATAAACTACTTAATTTCGCCTCTTCTATGTATATCCATCAATTTGACTGCTCCTGTGGAGCCAGTTACACAGGCTGTACAATTAGGCATATTTATAGTCGGATTCCCAAACACTATTCTGCGTGGTTAAGTAAGGGAGGGACAAAATGAATTCATAGCTCTATTCTATCTCATTTCGTAGATACAGAACACAACATTGATGTATACAAAGGCCTTCAAAGTCATGTACCATATGCCAACTAATCTTAACTTTACCTTAAGAATTCGTCTAATGCATTTTGCTGAGGCTGTTAGAATCTACATTAAGAAACCTAACTTATGTATCCAAAAGAAGTTGGTTCATCAGACATTTTCCTTACCTTGGCCATCGAGGTTGTGGATATTTCCTTAGTATTATTTGATATTCTATTTGCTATTACATTTTTATGCTTATTATAACTTATGAGTCTTTCGTGAACTGTAATTTCATTGATCCTACTTAACAAATCGATAGTATTGAAGAAACACCAATATTGTTAATGACGATTATTCTAGAATATAAATGTTGTGGTGATTGACAATTTCTATCTCTGTATTGTTGAAATATTTACTGTTGATTGTTAATATTTCTTATATGAATGGCATTATAATTCCGCTAAATACAAATTCCTGAATTCCGCCCTCTCTGTGTTTTGGTTGGATTCTTGTAATTCGGTCATCTCGAAATACTAATACTACGATTACAAATAATTACCACAAATTGGCGTCGCGATGGAACTAAATAACCTTGGAAAATTCCCTATAAATGGTTCTCCGCGGGAGATTGCTGATTACCTTGAATGCTTCGATGCGTGGTGCATTTCAAAGAATGTTCGGGATGACAAAATACCAGCACATTTCATCACTGCTATTGGGCTAGATGCGTATAGCCTAGTGAAGAATCTGGCGTTTCCAGATAAACCCATTTCTCTGCCATATGACAAGATTCGTGAACTTCTGATAAATCACTTTCATGTAACTACATTTGAGACCAGAGAGAGGGCTCAATTCAACAAACTGGTTCGTGCTCCCAACCAGAAGATTCGAGAGTTCATTCTTCAACTTCAAATACAAGCTTCAAAGTGTAACTTTGGAGATCAGCTGCATACTCAACTACGTGATCGTCTAATTGCTGGAATCAATATTCCTAAGTTAGAGAAAGAGTTAATTCAGATTCCTTCTTGTACCTTTCAAACTGCTAAAGATTTATGTATTACATATGAAGATGTCAATAATGAATACTCTGCTCCCACTACGTCAGTGTCTGATGTCATGCTGTCCAAAGTCGAAAATACAAGTGTTCATGGAAAGCAATCCAAACTGTCGTCCACAGGTAATAGAATGCAGCGAGAGATCAAAAACATTAAACCGTGTTTTTCCTGTGGAAAGTTACATCTACGAAGCACTTGCCGTTTTCGGGGTGCTAAGTGTCATAAATGTGGTAAAGTTGGACACATCAAGACTGTTTGCAGAAGTTCGAATACTTATGTTACTCAGAATTCTTATAATTCTCCCAATCTGTCTAGTAAAATGGAGTCAATGTGTCTTTCAACTTTTCAAAATACTCAATCTCATCCAATGAAAACCTCCACTACAAGTTCAGCAACTCAAGCGTCAACTGTTTTCAAAAATGAGGTAGCCGAGTTACAATGCGAACTGTCGAAAACACGGAAAAAACTGAATGAGATGAGAGAGCAACTGATTAAAATGGAGGAATTGCTGCATATGCATAGACTGCGTCTGTTGAATGCAGAGCATACAAGTACCCGTGAAAGTCCTGCAAAACTTTTCAAATCTCGAATTCTCAAAAAGCATCTGATGTCCACGACTTCTAATGTACATTATTACAAAGGGAATGACTATAGACCTTCTGTTGGAATCATACTACAAAAAATGGGAAATCGAGTGGTGAAGATATTAGACATCAAAGATCACTCAGTTCATAACAGACACCTGGACAAAGTGACAATAAATGAAGTAGGTCGTTCCAATTATTATTTTAATGATTCCGCTAATAATCCTGATTTTGTAGATAATTCAGAAATAAGTCCAGATAATACTGATGAAAATAATATCACAGAATCAGTTAGAAGGTCGCAGCTACTTGCAAGCAAACCGAGACATCGTTATAAATACGCAAGGAGATATTCGACGTGTGGCGGATGTGGTGATTGACAATTTCTATCTCTGTATTGTTGAAATATTTACTGTTGATTGTTAATATTTCTTATATGAATGGCATTATAATTCCGCTAAATACAAATTCCTGAATTCCGCCCTCTCTGTGTTTTGGTTGGATTCTTGTAATTCGGTCATCTCGAAATACTAATACTACGATTACAAATAATTACTATATATATAATTGTAGAACCGGAAGAGTAAATTATCGAAAAAGATATTCTCCTCTCAAATATTCTTTTGTCTTCTAAATGTCTGAATGAATATTTCCGCTATCCTAATATTAATCAATACTTTAGGGGAGTTTAATAAGTGAGACAAATAATTTAATCAATGAGTTGTAATCAAGATGCACATAGAAACGATGCAAAATGTGATACTAAGTGAGAGTTGGAAAGAAGTAGGAGAGTTAGGAAAGGCCGGCTGAATTTGTCTTACAACAGGTCATTGAACACTATCCTATATGGTTGCAGAAATGTACTACTAGTTCTATATGGAATGTGATAATTAAACACCATATGGACACTAGACATTCTAAGTCAACAAACTGCTCCTTCGAAGTAATCAATCCATAAAGCGAAAAACAACCTAACAAAGACAATAAGCTTCCTCCTATCCTTTGCTTTGCTGAAGATTTAGTCATTCAGATAGAGAAACCGGAGTTCTGCTGAACTCACTGAACTAACAATTTTATTTTTTTTTTCATGAATGCCAAGATCAATATTACTCATAAATCACTTAGGAATACCGAAAAAATAGAGAGTATAGTTAAGCCATCAACTGTTAGTGCATTCTACATATCACTCCGGACTTGGGCCAAAGAAGAAATCACATTTGTTTCAAGTTTGACCACGGATTCATATCAGTTAGAGGAATATTGAAAAACAGGGAGTACTGGATAACTGTTTCGTTCTAGCTCGTGACTCATGAGGGGTACGCACCCACTATCAGGGTTCAAAACTAGGGTTCTCCGGTTTCAAGGAGAGCTCGTAGACCATTCAGATACTGGGAGGCGATCCAATGACCCATGATTTCTAACTCCTACCAATTCGTCACTTTTAAGGCGACTGGCACTAGCCAATGTCATCGTTGAGTATTTCTCCGCACTCCTGACTGAGTGGGCCTCACTAGTTAGAACTTCTCACTAGAACTCCAGTCAACTTTGTCCTGTAGCCAGTCACCAGACTAGCGGTGTCCGTCAAGGATGCCCATTATCTCCTTTTCTATTCAACTTCATCATAGATGTGTTAATGGACTTAACCCTAAGTGACTTCAGCGACTCAGGGATTGATTTGCTACCAGGGAATAATCTCGTTGACTTGGAATATGCAGACGATATAGTCCTTCTAGGCGAAGACGCTGAAGAAATGCAGAGTCTTCTAAACACCTTGAGCCGCAATCTACGAATGTTTGGCATGCGATTCGCTCCCACCAAATGCAAGATGATGTTACAGGACTGAACTACATCGACGCCTAGTTTAAAAATAGGAAGTGAAGTGGTAGAGCATGTTGACCGCTTCACTTATTTGGGAAGTACCATCAGCCAGTGACAACGGGTTGATCTCTGACGAAATCTCAGCACGAATACAGGGGCTCGTTCCGCATTTGCCAGTTTACGCCGACTCTGGCGTAGACGAGATGTTCGACTATCGACCAAAGGGCGGGTGTACTGCTCATCAGTCCCCTCCATCCTCCTTTATGGCTGTGAGACCTGGCCACTGAGAGTGGAAGACATGAAAAGACTAGCTGTCTTTGATCATAGGTGCCTGCGCTCTATTTCCCGTGTAAAGTGGCATAATAAGGTGAGCAACATTGAAGTTAGGCGTCGAGTTCTAGGTAAACAGGGGAAATCAATCGACGAAGTCGTGAAGTTACAAAGACTGAGATGGTTAGGACATGTGTTACGTATGCCAAGTCATCTCCTTCCTCGACGAGCAATGTTAGCTGATATAGGGTCAGGCTGGAAAAGAACTAGTGGCAGTCAAACCAAAACATGGCACCAGTCAATGAAATCTACAACAGTTAGTCTAAGCCAGTCACGTAGGAAGGTGTAGACTTCCAGGCTGGGGTCCTCGGGACGGTAAAAATCTATGGTTGGAAACAATTGGTGACATGGCTCAAAATCGTTCTCAGTGGCGCAGATGCATCCACTCCTTGTGACTTATTATCTCTAATGAAACTGTTTTGTCCTTCGTTATTACTCCTTTGTCTCACACCTCTGCTCACTGTTTCTATTATGCTTTTCTTGTACTTTCTTCTCTTGCTTCGCGTGCTACACGGAGTGTGGCGACTTGAACTTCCGCACATTTGTGCAAAGTTCTATGTCGAAAACAGACAGACAGTCACCAGCGAGTATTACACTAATTTTCAAGGGTTAGTTTGTAGGGATTTGAATTGTCCCAAGTCTGACCACGGATTGATATCAGTTACAGAACCACTGAAAACCAGAGGGTACTGGACAGCTGTTTCGCCCTAGTTTGGTGGTACTCGTCAGTAGTGTCCACAGATCACCAGGGTTTTAACCCAGGATCTTTCGCTTACAGGCCAGCTCGCAGACCATTAATGGATTCTTTTTTAAGAAATCAGCAAACAATCATACCACAGCATCCTTATACGCCTACATAAAATGAAAACTTATAGGCAAACCATATGGTATTCGAAGGCTCTTTTGTGTGGACACTGACACACACATTCCACCTCCAAAACAATTGTAATGGCACTCTTTTCCTCAGTGCATCTATTCTTCCTTTTTAATTCTTTGCCTTTCGAGTGGAACATAGGGCTTTAAGATTTGAAGTTTCAGAAGTTCCATGCTCAACTTCGCCTTATATCCGGGCTTGCTGGTGTGAAGTGCACTAGGCGAGGTTGGGGAGTGCATCAACCGAAAATCAAACTTGTGTGGCTGGCAAGTGTTCTACAACCCTTGGAACATGGACGTACCACAGATTCTGTGGGTTACTACATATTATCTGACCATGATGTATATGCAAAGTTTACCTTTAAAGATAAGAAAAAGCGAGAGAATGAAACACAAATGTAAAGTCTCCACAGCATACACTTACCGGAGTGTCTGGTGATATTAATTCAGCAATTAAAGATTTTGACATATCAGCACATAAAGGTGAATCTGAAATATTCTCATCATTAGCATTACCATTATTATTGTTATTATTATTATAAGTAGTAGTAGTAGTACCACTGTTATTGTTAGTATGATAAACGTGCTCTTTCATTTGTTTTATTTCTTGTTCTTTTGTACTTAATAATGTCTCCAAATTGACCTTTTCATCGCGTAATTGATCAGCTTGTCGTTTACTGACAAAATGTTTACGACGAAGTGTTGCATTCAGTTTAGCTAAACGTGTGGCTTGTTGTTGCATCTGAGATAGGTATAAAATAAAAAAGTAAGAGATGATTGAAATTACTGGATATTATGTACGTGGAAAAGACAAAATCTAGCTAAAACGAAAATCTTCAAGAGTTTGTCTGTTGGGATTTAATTTGTTCCAAGTTTAACCACGGATTGATATCAATAAGAGAACCACTGAAAACCAGGAAGTACTGGACAGCTATTTAGTCCCCTCTAGTTTGAAACTCATCGGCAGTAGGCACTCGCCGCTAGGGTTCAAAACCAGGACTCTCTGGTTACAAGGCGCGCTCATACAGCCTTCAACCACTGGGGCCCGACTCAACTACTCATGAATTTTAACTGCTAACTGTTCCTGATTTAGCGCGACTGGCGCTAGCCAATGTTATCGGCGAGTATTTGTCCTTAATCCCGACCAAGTGGACCTCACAAGTTACGACTTCTCACTACAGCTCCAGGCAACCCGGTGGCTGCGTACAGCCCACGAGTCCCAAACCAAGACGAAACAGCTGTTCAATACTTTCTAGTTTTCAATGGTTCTCTAACTGGCATCAATCCATGATCAAACCTAAAACCAGAATCTTCATCATTATTAGTAGAAGTATTAAAACACAAAATCGGTACTTTATGGGCACCAAGAGATGCACCACATAATACCTGATAGTTTGTATGAGAGCTGGGATGCTGCTCGAACGATCAGACCAAAAAATCGATAATCTTAAGAGGCCACCTCTCTAGCCTTCAACTTGAAGTTCTATCCTCGAAGCAGTGGAGCAGTATCAGGAGCTAAGTTACTATGGTTTCCAGTGACCAAAACAGGTCTATATGTCCATCTAATCCGTTTGGATTTTGGAGCTTATGTACACCATAGATTATGAATCAGAGTTTTCCAGCTCCCCTACATAGACCTGGATGTCCCCCAGTCCAGTTGTAGGTGCAAAACGTCCGCACTTGGCCTTCCACTTCTGTAATGAAAACCCCGCCGCGTGAAGGTAGTGAACATGACCTAGTTAGCAGGTGCTATAAAGGCTTGGTCACATGTGAACATTTCGAGAGGAAAACTGAACGAAGTGTATCCACCCTTAACCATATCAGGTTGTTTAGAGAAGCGGCAGAAAGCGAATCCGAAATCATGTACCTCGATGGTTGTAGCTAACGCAAGATATGGTTAAATGAAAAAAGCGATGACTTGATTCCCTCATTGGTCCACTAGTTCAAATCCAGATGAGATCCATATCTGTGTTTACATTCCGATTGTCGCTTTTGTTGAATGGGACAGTAGTTAGAAATTGACATCTTCATCAACGAATTTTCATTTTTTAAACTGCTTGAAGCAGAGCTTCCAGTGGTATTCTAGCCATCACCATGTCAACGATGATCTAAAATCTATTACTAGTCAAAAAAGCTCGACGACTCTGGCTGATGGTCCTGCTATGTATCGCAAATCGGCAGAAGTTAGAATTGATGGGCCATTGGATTGCGTCACATTCGCTGAATAGTCAACAAACTCACCTTGTAACTTGAAGGTCTCTAGTTCGATTATCTGACAGGGTCATGTATGCGTGCTGCCGAAGAGTCTCAAAACTGTGACAAAACAGCATTCCAGTACTGCTTGGTTTTCAGTCGTTCTCTAGCCGAATTCAGTTCATAATATGATATATATCCATATAATATGTGTGTTTGTCTGACAGTCTGTTCTTGGTGACATGTATCCATATAATATGTGTGTTTGTTTGACAGTCGGTTATATTTTGCTATGTATACATGGATCGATATTCCATTATAATTAGCCAATCATGTTAAGACTGTCTATTGATTTGTTCATTTTGAATATTCGCTCACACACTTGTTCGGACATTCATATGTTTTTGCTCTCACACTCTTGTATGACATTGATTCTCCTGGTGTTTTGGAAAATAGAAGTATCATCGCAAACCTAGTGGTCTTCTGATTTCCGTCTTTCTTGCGTCAGGACTATTAAATTCTCGACCAGTACATAACATAATCAATCTTAAAAAACCTCTACTAAGCTGAATTTCACAGAGTACAACACCACAGTGATGTCAGCTGACTTTCGTGTGAAAAACTGATAAGTCACTGAGAAGCTCACTAAAAGCACCATTTACGGAAGGAGTTACTGTTATTTATAACTCTACTCTACCTGGAACATATTTTTCAGGCACAAGAGGCTATAAGCCATAGATACTGTGTGGGCGCTGGTAATATTATCCTAAATGCCCTAGGCTGAACTAGGTGGGGCGAGTTTAGGACTGAGGACTGATTAGTTGGAAGTCGAGTGCTTGTCCCAGTGAACCACACATCTGGTCTAGAATTGAAAATAATTCTTAGCAAAATTGGCCATTACATAAGAAGAAAACTTACTTATAATCCTGTAATAGAAATGTCAGCAGACAGAGCCTATTTAAGAACGAACTATGTACTTTTTTTAAAGTTTTGACGAGACTATCAGAGGCACTTTAAAAAACTAAACTCCAGATGATGTGCGGGTATCTGAAATTGAAGTTAAGGCCTAGATGATTATGTGATTCGGACCGGACGGCTAAGTTTACCCGGGACGACTGGATTTTACCATTTACTAATTAGATTCTTATTTTATTTTGACTGCTACGCCTTCTTTCCCCTCGCAAATATCTAGGCAAAATAATTTAGATTGTTTCAAGTGAAAACTACAAGTTGCTCAAGCATTTCCACAGATCGAATCTTAAAATAAAGCTTTTAAGTTTGTTGTGCAAGAGGTGATTCCTGTGGCCCAATGGACTGCAATTTCGCGTTTTTAGCGATGGTTACTGGTCTCAGTGTGAACACTATCACTCACTGAAGAGTTGGTATATCCAGCTAACGAATCCTAAGTACGACTAAACGTGTGTTTTCGATCCTTCTGCCAATAGCCACCAAAACAAGTAATTTTGAGCCATTATCGAGAGGCATAAACCTGTGAGACTAAACTAGCAGCGAATGACTCAAAACGACGGAAATCATTGACCAGTGCTTAACGTTGAATTCGATACCGGTTTGTAATCCGTCCAGTCTCAGCAATTACACGTAGCCAAATAATTCTGGTCGAAAGACTCGTTTTTCTGATATATGACAACGTGAGGAGTGTTGCTTAAATATTAGTGGGCCGTAAAGTAGCAAACCTTATAATCCAGAAAAATACAAATTTACTACAAGAAAGCTCTGACTTAAATACATAAAACTGTATACTACTAATTGATTGAAATGAGTAGTTGTATACCATTTTCAGCGCTGCCTTCACTGTAGTCGTATTCATTTCTACAATATATTTGTTAAATGATGAAAACTAATTTTCACTGGTTCCCACTTCCCCCACAACGTCATCATAAGGATGAAATTAAAGAAAATATAGTTCAATTGCTTAGGTATTCAATTTTCAGCCAGTGTGAAAAGGTTTCGAAATTTTCGCTTTACCTACTTTGGCTTAAATAGTTGCCTAGTATCATAAAAACCTCCGAACATTCAGTATGGCCAGTTTTCTACCTCCAAACCATGCACGTTACAAAGCGAGCAGAATAAAACTTTAACTGTAACCCCAAGAACACACAATATCATTGAGTACATATACTCGAGTAGCAGGCATAACCACAGGTTTCTGTGATCAGATAGTTGGAGATAATCAGCAGGAAGCTTTCAACCTATGCTTCGTACTTGTTGGCACTCTTCAGCAAGGCATGTCTGCGATTTTGAAGGAACACATGTCACTTCAGAGTGCCAACAAGCACGAAACCTGGGCATTTCCAAGGATCCTTGGCGATCGTCTTTATGCACCTAATAACAACAATTCAGAGTGCACCATGATAACGATCCACCTAATGGCATGGTGGCCATATTGAAAAACTGACTGATAAAATTCAGTCTGCACCAAACAAAAGACTAGATAAATGATATTAGTTACTGCCCAGTCGCCAATCAAAGTACATGACCACAGATAACAGAACCCTAGAGTATTACTGTGGTGAGAGCTGGCTGTTAGTCAAAATTGGTGGACAGTAATTTACGTCAATGTTCATGCCCCCAATATTGGTCGTGAGAAAGATGAAAACAAAGGCTTTGTGTAGGCGGATACAGTTAACATATAGATGATCTGACATACAAGAAACAGCCACAGGGAGATGCAAGGTTAACTTCCTGTGAGAAATAACCAATCAGAAGACTGTGTTTTTCTGCTAACAATAATCCATAATATGTACATGAAAATCTATAAATGTGTTGATTTCCTTAATAAACGATCTGTTGCCTGACCCTTGTCTTCTGTTGTTACATTATGATAATGATGTTAATTAAGGCAAAGATACTGAAAGATGCGACGGGAGAGATTTAACAGAGGTTACCTCCTTCACTTATCTAGGAAGCACCGTTTCAACTACAGGCCAGTGGAACGGACGAAGATGTCGAAGTCAGCCGGAATCGAAAAGGCAAGATATGCATTCATCAACCTGAGATCAGCTAGGAAATCTTCTGCACTGACTCAGCATAAAGAACAAGATGTATTCGGATTTTTAACACAATTGTAAAGTCAGTCAGTTCTTCCATACGGATTAGACACTTGCACTGTGTGTCAGTCACGAAAAGGATTTCAGGCAGGTTAAAAACTTTTATCAACAGCTATCAACTTCGCTCCATGCTAAGGATGAGATGTCCGGCTAGTCAGAAGGAATTAGCAATAAGAAACCCTGACTGGGAACAAGCCAACCAAGATCCGATTACTCAACAAATATGTAGGAGAAAATGGAGATGGATCGGGCATGCACTGAGGAAAACGTCGAATGACATCGTGCATCAGGCCCTCGAGTGGAATCCAAGGGGGTCATCGGTGTGAGGTCGACCTAGAGAAGACGAGAGATTATGATCAATCTTGGAACCATATGAAGGGGACGGCAGAAAGTAGAGGAAAGTGGAGATATGTTGTTGAAGCCCTATGCTCCACTCGAAACATAATAAAATAATACCAAAAGAGTATTAGTCGACAAAACA